ATACCTGAGTAGTTCATTTCTGCTATCTTCAACATCACAGCACTGGAATGAAGCACGGGGATACTAGTCTTTGCAAGAACACTGCTAATGATGATGGCTTCACGTAATGTACAATCTCCAGCCTACATGAAGAMAAAAAGAGATAAATTTTACATTAATGGACTTGAAAAAAATCAAAATCAATAGATATAAAATACCTCACAAAGGGGAAGAAGAATTCCTTTAAAGAAAGCAGCTGGTTTGAACAGTGCTTTTTTGAGAGCCTGAAGAAARATAGAAAAGAAATTGTCATTTGTAGCTCATTGCTACTATAGGGAGGGGGTTGGGAATGTCAGTTTGACAGTTCTCATCCAATGGGGTACTAATAACTGTATGACACATATTACTGTATATATTACCATGTAAAGATGATAGTTAAGTCGCTTATATTCTGCAATATCATCCCTGACTCTTGGGTAAAGAACCAGATTAAAAAATCTAGAAAACAAAAGGAACAAAACTATGACCACTTTCTTGTAYGGAGRARCATATMGGGGGTGYAGGCCACACCCTARCAAGGGGTACAGACCACATAGGTAGCTAMTAAGGAGACAWGAAAATAGAGGAAAATAKATTTACARTGCACAACCTTTGCTTACAACCAGMACATGYAGTATTCACTATTAAAMAATTGTWACAGTTGTAGATAMATCTATGCTGTAAGGATAACCTGAGCAGCTTCYATGTGACRGTTGTAGGMAAAAGTTGTACCAGTAAATTTGACCCACTGGCTGGCTACAACACCATTGTAGTTCATGCTTTTGCAGTCAACCTTATAACCTTATACAACATAAGTAAGGTTTAAGTAWRGTTTAAAACAYGATCTYGAGTGTGATGACAAGAGTGCTTTGTAAGTTTATTCATGCATGATCAGTTTGCCCCATTTATCTCAAAACTTATTTTTTACTGCAATTTATCCAAGAATTTTAACGGATTTGAATTTCAAATTATTGTTGGCGTTTTCATACATATATAGCAGTGTGCTATACCTTTGTGCCATTTTGACATTTAAATTTGATACAAATGTCCTTGTTGCTTGGTAGACTGCTGCAGCTGTCCAGGTATCTGGTTCMGTGATAAACATCACCTGATAATAACAGAAAGCTTTGAAAATGTGACACACCATTGAAAAACAATTACTGGCACTTTGGACATTGGTCCTTTTGTGTTATTTTTTACAAATATAAATTTTCTAACTGTTTTAAACAAAACACAAACACTTCCCACAATACTTGAAGTACGAATTATGTTGTTTTATATCAGAAAGTTATGAATTTTAAGCTATTATTAGGGCAAAATTCAACATCTTATTTCTTGTTTTTGGTTTTCACTGCCATTTTTTGGAGCCTTACCTCTTCCCAGTTTGTCAGGGATGGRATGAACTTAAAAGCTTTTGGAAGTTTTCCTGATCTGTACTTTTTAAGAATTTCACCAACACTACAAGAACACAACATTAGATCTTTACTTTGAAATACAACTAAAACAGGTAAATAACAAAACATTAAGATCAAAAAGTAATATTGATTGATGTTTATTACCCTTTGAAAACTTTTACTAATCTTTCATCCATTTGAGGTGCAGCTGTTTTCTCTGTAACATGACAAACAAACTAGTATGAAGTATTCAGGTTACAAGGCACAATAATGCTCTTTCTTTATTATATGCACAACTCATTTTGTATTTTATGGTATCCCACTGAACCAGACCTGTACTAGTTAAAACGACGGGAACTATTGGTAAACTAGTGTGAGCTGCGTCTGTGTTTCTAAAGAAACAGTTGGGTAAAAAGACAAATTTAACACCGTAAAAAAGTAGGTAAAATAACTTACTGATGTTTCGGACATTAATACTTTACTCCGATGAAGGATTAACGTCCGAAACGTCAGCAAGTTATTTCACCTACTTTTTTACAGTGTTAAATTTATCTTTTTACACAACTGTACTATTTAGTTAATCTACCTGACATTTGGCTCTCGATTTCTGTCTTCTTATCCTGTATTTTTTCCATGATAACATCAGCCAACGTCCTTCGTGCTGGAGCTTCTCTTGACATAAACATTTCAAAAGCTYTTTCTTCATTTTCATCAATTTCCTATCAATGTTTACAATAATTACAAATAATTACAAAGTAATTTTTCTCCGGGTCCTCCGGTTTTCCTCCCTCAGTAAAAATCAACATGTGAGGAGTGTTGTGTGCTAAAATACTTAATGTAGAGGTAGTGAGTGTGAGAGTACAGGGTCCGCAGTAATTGGCTCACGCTGTTGCGGTGTCCCTGCCCATACTAGGGGCAAAGCTAATAAATTAAATTAAAAAATTAAAAATAGATGTACTACACAGTGCTACTTTCTAAGTTTTTGGTACAAAAACAGCATACGCCATGGTTATATATGATAATGAGCAAACTGAATATGGGATGAATAATGTTGGTAAGTAAGTGAATTGTAAACTGYACATTTTGTCATATTGACTTTTGTTCTTACAACATGTTCATAGTATGTTTCACTGGCCACTGACAATTCATCATCATCATCAGACTCATCTTCATCATCATGCTTCTCCGCTCCACCAAGACTTGTTCTTGCGGTCTTTAAAGACTTTTTGCTTGATGTGTAACCAAACTCTTCTTCAAGCTCATCTTGTTGCTTCCTYGCTTGTTCAAGGATCTTCTTAGACAACTTTTCTTCGACATACTGAAGTGTAATATGTAACATCGATAAAACATTGATATTTTTGAAAACATGTGAAGAAGTGTTTATTAAAAACATAGTAATCATTAAACTAAAACCATTTTATAACACATGCATTGTTTAACGCAATTCAAATCAAWATAAATATTTACAAACCTTCAAAATTCTAAATACAAACACTAGATAGGTATCGATTTTAAGAAATTTAGCTTAGAAATTGGGTAAAAATAAACCACAATCGTTCGGTGTTTGCAATCAAGCTTTCTCCTCAACTCACCAAATCTTCTTTTTCTGCTTGTCTTTCTCGACGTTGTTTTGCTCGTTTTGACGATTTTACCGTRTTYTCACTAATAATATCCTCTGTTAATCCTCCTTTGTGCCTTTTTTCTTTCTTATCTTTCCCCATTATTTAGAAAATCGAGTAATTTCAAAGCAAGTCAACTCAAGAGAKGCAACACGTGAAGATAGATATCGACAGGCGTCCCTTGTACTCGTTCTAGTCTCTAATATGAGTATAACACAGGAGGACCACTAGATGTCCGGGAGTCAAAATTACGGGAGTATGTAAATCCAGTCTAATCAAAAATACTTTACTGTATTTAGGTTCAGGTAGTCTTCCTTTTGACCAAATTTCGTTGACATTTCAAAGCTTCTTCGCCGCTCGGCATAGTATACAGTCGACTCCCGAACAGAATGTCACGAAAAACTAGATGTCCGGGAGTCTAGTAGTATCCTCGCAGTCGTTCGCTGGGGACAGGGAGCCCGCCACTAAGAACCTCAAGGGAAACGATGATATGTCAAGGAGTAGTGTTAATCCGAGTCTAATTAACAAATAGACCTCCAGGGCGAGTGGACTACGAGCTGATATCCCATAATGCCTTGTCGTTTGACACGCTTGTCATCTTTGACAAGTGAAAATTAATTTCCTACACGCTGGTGAAAGTTAGCTTGAATGAGCAAACTTAAAATGGTCCTTAACTTAACACAACGTTTTGACCCACAATATTTCCAAAAGAAAATAAAAATAAGCGCTTTTCTCTGGTCGAGGACTATTAGACACTTGGATTTTTTTTAGTATGAAGTTAGGACTAATCGGGATAGCATGGAAGCCGCTGAYATCTTCTCAGAATATCTCGGGTGAATCATCCCAAATCTTTTCTTTTTTTTATATTGCTTTCAGTCATATTCGGCGGGATTGTCGAGCAGGAATATTTAAAGTCAGCATCGTCACAAAATTGTATTTAATATCGTATAAAAGTAGCTAGTCTATCAGTGGAAGAATAATCATCCACCTCTTGCACTAGTCCTTGAGTTTAAAAACCGTAAAAAATACATAGGAACATCTTCACATCCARTCAGAATCGTTGTTTTATCCTAACGTTATCAATACAATGCTGTTTCTGATTGGCTAATACTACTGCGTTTGATTTAGGCCAAAAARTCTGTGCACAAATGTGGCCAAAAGACAGCGTCATCTACGCTACCAAATATGGTGTTCATACATCAGCAAACCCAAATATGGTGTTAATAAATTAGCTGSCGTATATGGTATTTATAAGTCCACGTGACTAAATGCAAATTGGTGTTTCAGTTGATCTTTGCTGACCATCTTTGCTCTAGCTTCTTTGATAACCTTCATGGCMTCGTATCTCGCTCGTTCGTCTTTCTTTTCTTGCATAGTAAACCATAGAGCGACCGCGCAACGACGCCCTTTCTTGACTCCAAGGACACCGTGAAGGTTTTCGAGTCCGGCTGAAAAACCTACTAAACGACCACACCGTGGCTTCACTTTAGCCTGCRATAGARAAATATAAAGAGGAAACTTAAGACAGCTATACACCAAGTATATAGGGCGTGGCTGTTTATGATCTGTTTTGGATACTCAATGTAATCAGTCAGTCAATTAATCAATCAATCAGTCAGTCAGTCAGTCAATAATCGATCAATCAATCAGTCAGTCAGCTAGTCAATCAATCAATCGACCAATCAGTCAGTCGGCTAGTCAATAAATCAATCAATCGATAAATCAGTCAGTCGGCTAGTCAATCAATCAATCGATCGATCAATCAGTTGCGTAAAAAGATAAATTTAACATCGTAAAAAACTAGGTGAAATAACATTACTCCGACGAAGAATTAACGTCCGAAACGTCAGTAAGTCATTTCACCTACTTTTTCCAGTGTTAAATATACTTTTTACATATCTGTTTCTTTTTATAGAAACACCGACGCAGCTCACACTAGTTTACCGCTAGTTCCCTTCAATCGATTTATCAGTTAGTCAATCAATAAAGTAAGTATGCAAGCACCTAAAATCAACAAGGTTACCTGTATTGTTTCGTTAGGGTGAGCAAAGATAAACTCTCCTCCTTCAATATCTTCGTTCAAATAAAGGAGGGCACTGTAGAGATAACACATGTATATCATTTATGTAAAAAGATAAATTTAACACCGTAAAAAAGTATGTGGAATAACTTACTGACGTTTCGGATGTTAATCCTTCGTTATGTCCGACGAAGGCCGATTAACATCCGAAACGTCAGTAAGTTATTTCACCTACTTTTTTACGGTGTTAAATTTATCTTTTTACACAACTGTTTCTTTAGAAACACCGACGCAGCTCACACTAGTTTACCGCTAGTTCCCATCATGTATATCATTAGCGTTTTTACACATGACAAAATGGTTGGGCTGCCTGTAACAGTACTTACCTAAAGTCCCTCCACGTGAATGCGGGCGCACGCTTAGGACAAGTTTCAGGTCCATCATTGTGCAGAAGGCAGTTATCCGCATGGATTGGATGACTAAGAGCGAGATTCTTGGCTTGACTGGCCTCTAATCATCAACAAATAAAAAATTAAAACCAATTGTACTTATAAGCATGTACTTTTGATTCTGTGGAAATCACCAGGCGAACTTATAAATAACATGAGAATGATGATGATGAGAATGATGATGAGTACAGCAATGATATTAAAAGTCATTTCTCCATGGATAGCGCGCGTTAATGATTCAAATGTAGTACGCAATTGAACCAATCAGGATGCGCGCTTGAGTAGGAATCTAATATGCGACACACCTTCAAGAGCAGTTCTACAAACCAAGTGAGTGTACGAGAAATACAAAGGWGTATCCATCATGAAATAATCTTCCACGAAAGAACGAGCTCGTTCACTCGCGTTCATGTAGAGTTCTACTGGTTCAATTCCTGTCTTCCCTGCCAAGATGGCCTGCGAAAGACAAGACAAACTAATCAATGTCGTATCAGCAATGTTTTTTCAGATACAGAAAATTGTAACAAAGTACACTTCTTGGATATGTGGTCAGTCAATCTTGTTTATAAGCTGACAATAGATTCTAGTCCCTAATAGCAATAGTTTGCTGTTGTTGTTGTTGTTGTTGTTCTTTTTTAACCCCGATGAAGCTGCATTGACGCAAAGGGTTTTGTAATCTTAACAACAGAGGGGAACTGAAGAAGATTCTTATTGCACATTTAATGCAAGAGGAGAGCTTGTCTTGTCTGGAAAATATGATATTATACAAGGGGAAAAGAAACTTGGTGGTGGAGTCTGCATATTTGTCAATTAAAGAGATAGCATTGTTACCTTCGAAGCGTCAATTGGCGTGACTCCTTCAAACGTTTCTTTATCCGAGAAAGCGAACGGTTTTCCTCCAGTTGTACGRCGGTCAAGGTAACCGTCTCCCAACGTCGCGGTCTTCTGGCAAATACCAAAATCATCAAGAACACAAGATGTATAGAATTGTATGGCCCTCGAGTAATGCTTACACCGTCGCTACGTACGACATAGTTTTTGCCATGTGGGAGGGGAGGGATGGGAGTGAGAGAGTGCGGGTTTCTTTCACTCATCCTTAAATTTTAAAGTAAAAACGGAAGAAAAAAAAAACGAAAAAGAAAGCAGAAAACGAAATTGAAAAGAACAAACGTATGAGAAGGAATGAAAATCACAAAATTTAAATTTCTGATTTTATATTCAAGTTTTAGAAACAGAAAATTTTAAAACTCATTTTAATTTAGATGAAATGTCCACTTTAAAATGTTAAAATCAAGCGTTTAATCAGCCTRTGGCTACGGGATATAAAATGGTTAATTCAAACGGAAATAGCCTCACAACAAGGAAATTTTTGAATGACACTGRCATGATAAGTTCAAAAATGTTTACTGCTAAAAAAATACACTTCTGTGCATGCATTGTCAAAAATCTTGTTAGGGTAGAGTTAACAATTATAGTTTTAATTGCTCTCAAACTGAGCTACTCGCTTGTAGTGTCAACAATGTCACCTCTGAGCTGGACTGAGGGCAGGTAAAAGTAGCTGATGGTTGTCAGCATGAGTATGTGGCGGCACAGATGTCGTTTTGTAATATTGCTGGTTAATATCACCTGAATCTTTATGCATTAATTAACAAGCACTTTGTTAGAGGGCCATACATATAATAGTAATGAACTGTTAAAAATAAAGTGTAGTTAGATTGCTGGTTTGACACAAGCTGTCAAATGTATATTACTATCACATTCATATTTTCATTTATTTTATTTATTTGTTTTAACATGAATTCATTTATGGTTTGGTGTGATGATCATAATGACAATGATGATGATGACAACAATGATGATGATGATGTTCATGATGATGATGATAATAATGATGATGTCAATGATGAACAGGGGTGGATCAAGTTGTTTTCAAATAGAGAGAGATACAACATGAAGGTGGAAGAGAACTGGCAATGTAATGGTAGAAATGAAGCATGCAGAGAGATGAAAATGCAAATCTGTATGTTGAGCTTATAGGGGGTTGCAGTCCCCTCTAGATCCCATCCTGGTGATGTCAATTAAAAAAGCTCAATGATTACAAAGATAGTGAAATATATCTGATATCTGTGAGAAATACAGAAGCTGTAAGCAAAAGTAAAAGCATGAAAGAAAGAAAACAGAGAAGTGAAAAACCAAAATAAGTGAATAAAATTAGACGAGACTACATACAACCATGTTCATACCCGGGCAAGTTCCTGCAAAGTTTTGCACGCTTCCTCATCAAGAAATCCATCAGCAACAAACCTGTTGGTACCATTGAGTTGTTCACTAGTCATAGTAACCTTGACACCCTGGGAAAAAGGTCACAATGTCACAATCACTATCACAATCATAATCATTATCTTCATATATTGGCAGATTTTATGACTCATAGCACACTAGCCAACAGCATATTGAATGGTMTGGTAATTTCTTGTAAAGAAAACAGTGAATTGATTAAGAACCGATTCAACAGAACAGTCTTCTTCACAGTTACTTGTGACAACTTGAAAGGTAGCCGCGCCTTTACATTGAAGCGAGACAACCGTTGAGCGTGCAATGATAGATACCTGTGAATGATTGTCTTTAGGTGTGAAAGAAGGTTTCTAGCATTGCACACTCAACGCTCGTCTCACTTCGATGCAAATGCACAGCTACCTTTCAAGATGGCGCAGGGAACCTGAAGAAGACTACTGCAATGTACTGTACAGTGTGCCATAGTTTTTTTACGCATGAAATCAATCATCATAAACAGACAGTATATTATGCATGTATCAGACCTTATATTTTTCCATGCTAAGGACATCATCTATTTCTTTGATTTCTGAAGGATCTTTCAAAGGACCAAGCCCAGCCATCTTGATRGCAGAAAAATCCAGCTCCTCTCCTTCAACAAGATCCTAAAATAATCAACATTTCATTAAGTTTTGGAAATAGAACTGMTGATCAGAAGAAGCTTCTGTTAGTAAAGATTTATTTAGCAGGKTTTTTTGATTATRAAATGATGAATACCTCTCCTGTTTCTTCTGTTTCATCCTGTTGTTTCAATAAATCGTCCGGGTCTTCAAACCACTCATCATTCATATCWGAGTCACTGGTGTACATTTCAGCCATGTGTAGCAATCTGCTCGCAAGATTTATTGAGCGATGATAAAGTATGGCATCCTAAGGTAARGAAATTGCACATTGATAAATAAATGAGGTGCATTAATAAATGATGTAAGAATGAACAAATGAATAAATAAAAATATAAATGAATGAAAACAAAAGAAAGGACTGTCATTGATCAAACAGAATGATTACAAGCTGTAGTACCTCTCTGGCATGAATATCTTTCCCACTAAAGTTTCCATAATGTCTGAATATCTTTAAATTGTCAACCATACTAGCATCATCAGGATCAAGAAGAAGGTATGAAGATGCACACTCTGAAGCCTCTTTGACTTTACCCACTAAAGAATCAAAAAAATACTTACAAAGATTATAATTGGAAAGACCCCACAATGAAAAATAGATTTATGAACGCATAATTAAATGGATGAGCAAATGGATGAATGAATGCATAATTAAATGCATGAGCAAATGGATGGATGTATACATATAGTCTTTGCTACTAACCTTGCCAGTATGCCATCTGTAGATAGTTGTAGTGMCGCGGTAAATACTTAGGGACAACATTTTTGTGCATTGTTGCAAGTTTGTTGGGACACTCTGACCTGCATCKTAAAACATCAACATATGCATCAAAAAGACCAGCTCTGCCGAGRAACATATTCTTCTCCCTCTTTTCCTCACACGAGTATCTACATTCTTCATATGCCTTGTAATACTCTTTGAGAGTTTCCTCAAAAGCACTGACGGCTTCTTCCCATTCGTTTCCCTCATAGTGTTTGACTGCCTTGAAGTAGGCAAGAATATGTGGTACAGGCTCCAAGGAGAAGATTAGGTCATCTGTGAGGAGAGCAAGCGATTTGTAGAATTTCATGTTGTCAAGCATGAATTGGTCATCAGGGAAGTTCTCGAGGTAGGTGTACGCTGCCTGGGCTCCTTTGATAACTTTACCACACTGAAATACAATGGTGATTGTTAAGTTGTGTTAAACCCAAAGCATTTATAATATTATTAATTGATTGATTGATGGATTGATTGATTGATTGACTGATTGATTGATTGAATGGCAATAATGAATGCAATTATCATATTAAATGTTTACACAAGTTAAATATAACATGAAAAAGTTAATTACAGTCTTTAATATAAAAAAGGAAATTTAAAAATACAATTCTGAAAAGAGCATAGGCTTAAGTCTATATTTTGTATTTTGAGATTTATTAAAATTCAACCAGATTTTCTTAAAAAAGCACAAAATGGCGGACTATTCATCATCTGCGCTGAACAAGATGTCATTATTGTCCAGACCGCTTATCCTCTTCAGACGAGATGCCGGTGTTCACGTGTGTAGTAATGTAACGCTTTCTGTAATATTTGCAAACAAACTCTACTTTACAACTACCCAAACATGCACAGATCACACAAATATGCTACAAAATATACCGTACCTTATAATAGGCAAAATGCAGGAACTGATAAAGCCTTTTAGTTTCAAACTCGCTCTCAATTCGTTTAGAAACTTGAGATCTTTGACCGAGGTACTTGTGTGCGCATCTTTGCGTGCATCGTCGAGAGTAAATTGTAAGTCGAAAATACTCCAATTCTATGTCTGCCAGAAGAAACTGAACATGTCGCTGACCTAGCGACTCTTGAAACTTCTTGTAGCACTTCTCACGGCAATGTAGCTTCACATTCTTTTGATGTTTGTAGTCTGCGATTGCCTGTTCAAATTTTTTCATTGACTTACAATAGTCTTTCAAGTTGTAAGCATAYGTCGCGTCGGTGTAAAGTTCATCGTATTGGGCTGTTTTAACTTGCGTAATATTTTGATCTTCAGTTAGATTTGCGTCTACTAAATAGGTAAAAAAGTTTAAAAGAAGAACTACAACTAAATTCAGCGCCATGATCGAACGACGAGGACCTCCAAAGAAAATCATGTGAAATCAAATAGCTTATCCAATTTTCAACCAATCAGCTGGCGTTATTTACCTACCGGAAGTATGGTATCGGGGGAAAGCCAAACACACATTTCATTGTTCTAAACCGGAAGTTGGATTTCGAGTTTGGTAAATTGGTAAACAATACTAAGGAAATACCAAAAACACCGCAAAGAACCAGAGAAAACATTGAAAAAGAACATATGGAAATTTCAGCCAGGATTAATAATCAGAAGTGATATTTTTGYCGCTAAAAATTTAACTCGATTTATTTCAATTTTTAACATTGATTTATAAAAGATAATTTTTTTTTCCTATGAACAAATGAGAGTCAGAAAGAAAATTTGAAATGAGACGAATAATTTTGAGAAAAATGGGAAAAAGTTGAGGATTGGGTATCCTGTGTATCTAGGAAATCGTGCGCGCAACATCTTCCAAGGTGTCTTACAAGGAAATATAGTAAGATTTCTTTTATTTAATCAACCTTTTTTCTTAGTCAGATATCCTTCTTATTAGTTTCCCAGTAGACTGTACTTTTTTTTTCAAAGCCCGGAACTCCTCGGCGGTGTATTGCTTCTTTCCTTTTTTGTCCTTTCGTCGGTCAGGCTGACAGTCTTGAGTTTCTCCCTGTTTTCCTTCGTTAGACATATTTGAAGTTGATTTTGCTACTGAATTCTTATCAATAGCTCCCAAAACGGGGCCTTGCATTCTTTTGAAAAAGTCTTTCCCTTTAGTTGGTTTCTTRCCCTTGTAAAACCCCACAATGGCTTTTGCTACTGACGTGGGACGYAGAGCCGGTTTTAAAACTGCGGCGTTTTCTTCACTGACTTGCATAGCTTTCTCCAATAGAAGACCGTAATATGGCAAATGGTGCAGCCTCTCTTCGCGATAACTCAGTTTTGMAATGGCCACCCACTTGATCTTCTCAAGGGTCTCAGGATTACGCTTTACGATMAGACGGTGGAAGTTTGGTTTATCGAGTTCGTAGCATTCAAGGGATTCCAAGCATTCGACGCTCATGCTGAAAAGAGGAAGATCWAGAATCATCTCCAAGTCACCAATGATATCGTTTTGTCCAATGACAGCGACTTGWACCAWTCGATCGCGTTGTCTTCTCTCCTCAGCAACAAATCCGAATATCTGACGTTTTCGCCTTTTTTCGATCACCGTTAAAGGCTTCGTCACATCTTCTTCCTGTTCTTCTTCTTGCTCTGATGTACTCGTCTGTTTTCGTGTTTGCCTTGGTTTGATGCGATCATATTGTTTAGTTGCGATACGTGGGTCGACCAGTACCATTCCCATTCCTTTGGCAATAAAGAAAACACTATGGCAGTACGTGTCTTGCTTTACGACTAAATTTCCGAAATTAAATGAGTGAGCTCTTAGATTCTCAACTAAYAATGTTTTATACGCATAAGGCCAAGACGCGAACAAAGGGCAATTAAAAACAAACTKAGTCTTGTTCTTCCATTCAGCATTGTGGCTTGCTAGCGAGYGTTGGTAAAGTGGACTATCAATGCTGACAAGTAAGGTTGCTTCGTCTGATATGGCTGTTGCGTTTCGTTCTTTCTTCCCATCAGTCATGACTGATTCGCCAAAGTTTCTTCCTGCCTTTAGAGTGCTAATYTCAGTACCGAAAAGTATGATTCTTTCTTGGTGACTTCTAACTAAAGACTCTTGGGAGATTTCTCCTTCGCCTTCTTTCTTTGCGTAGAGTGAGACACTCCCTTTAAGCACGACATACAAGCAGTCTCCCCTYTCCCCTTGYCGTATGATAACTGTATCTCTTCTAAAACGATGCAGTTTAACATTTTTGATGACATCTTTCATGGCATCGTCCTCAAGATCTTTGAAGATCGGGCTTCGTTGCCTGAACCAGACCAAAATGCTTTCTATCKTTTTGTCTTCACGATTTGATGGAGGTGCAGTAAGTACCGTCTCTACTTCTTCCCACATCTGTTTTTGAAAGTCCACCATGTTGTCTTTAAAAACACAGGTTTGTTGATAAATCCGATTACTGATCAACAATTGTGACGTATAAACGATTCCAGGATGAAAAGAACACGCGCGCACGATCCKAAGAAAATTCCTCGCGCATCTTTCTCAGCCAAGGTAGAGTCAACACAGGGAGCCCAAACAACGACGAGGCTAAGTGATGGTGATAGCAAGCCTCTTTTATAAGTCAGTGCTTGATCAAACCAAAAATCCATTAAAATGAGGAACTAAAAGAAAAAGAAAGAAAAAGAAAAAAAGAAAGAAGAAAAGAAAGCAAGAAAAAAAAAGAAAAAAAAGGAAAAAGAAACAAGAAAAAAAGAGAAATACCAGCAGCAGGATTCGAACTCAGGACTTTCTCTTCAGGAAAAGATGTACCCCCCCCGGAATACATAAGAAATAATGAAAATAAAAAAGCTAAAAAGATGGGACGATTCCCCCGAGACATTCTATGAAGCTGAGGCGTCGAATCGGCTTACGTTACGGTTAGAGATTTCGGCYCTTCCACGCTATCCCGAGTGAACATAAAACTTAGTCTTAACCAAAAGGCCAGGGAGTGAGGGGGTAGCCGCCCACTAGAGCATACCTTKAGCTACCCTCTTAGACCATCGTACTATGAAGACACTTAAGATATCTAATATCTAATTGGGGTAGTCTATTCGGTGAAGATCTATGCTAATATATGACGTCACGAAAATCCTTAGGGAGAAGCGAGCCAATCAGAGCTCAACTCAGGAATTAGCAAACGGTACAGGTTTTCATAATCATTCTTCAGCGGATTTATTATGTCATGGGGGGTGGGGTAAGTGCCGAGTGCTGGTTTGCGGCCGAATACCGATGTACTCGATGAACTGTGACGCCTTTTATTGAGCTGTTCAACTGTCCTATATTGTTTTACAAATCATCACAGGAAAAGGTGTACAGTTCTTATATCAGACAGACATCACAAGTATTCGGATGAACACAACGAAAAACATTTCTTGAAATTCTTAACGAAAGTGGTTTACAGACCAGGCAGCCGCTAGGCAAGCTAGCAGAAACTCCAACATTACACTCGAACGTTCCACATTTTCGTTTAACACTGTCGTGTCAAAATCTCTTCTAGGGAAAATAATATCTCCTGGGAATGACAACAACCACATCAATAACAGCAATGACAACAACAAGAAAATGGACAACAACTTTGAAAACAACTTTAACGGCCAGGAAAATGACCAGAGCAATCAAAGGCATGATAGTGATTTTAATGAAGTGGTGTCTTTCCTGTCTTTATGAAAAGTTTACAAATGGGTTAATATTAATTATCTAATAATTATTAAATGTAAATATAGTGAATGTTTTAAAAATCGAAGAGGATGAATGACTAATCAGTATAAAATTAATAAAGAATGGTAAATAAACTTAACAATCTTAGGGTTTTATTGCAAAACTATATAAATCATGCGAATTATAGTAAAAGTACACTTTGAATGATATAAACATTTTATCGACGTCGTTCGAGAATTTGATCATGAGTTTATAAGTCAACAGATACAGAAAGATGTCTTTGACTATAGAGCTAACTTAAAGCTCTAGGGAATCCATGTCGTGATAAAAATTTCTTTTCCAAATCTTTCAGATGGATATGTTTACTGTAGGCAGCAGGACATGGCGCCTTGCGTCAGGCCCTCAYGGGAGGCGGGAATCAATCACAACGCCCCTGGGAATCGCTTGCTCTTGCCGTATTTATAGACGTCCATATATTCCATTGCAGCGTATACAGATCATTCAGAGAACGTTGTATACTGAAAATAGTGTATTCGAAGTTWCTAAATCACTTGATGGCCTCAGTCATATGCAGTCCTCGACTGCCTATTTTTCTTTATGATAACAGAGGCAGTGACARTAAAGTAAACTCCAATATCGTGAATTTAGAATTTATTTTATTGAGCAATAATTTCGCTAATATATATACAAAATATTAACTTAGTTAATGATATCTATGTGCAATGAATGTATAATTCTCCATTCAATTAATTATAACTAAAATGCGTGATTTCACTGACAGGTCACGTGATCCCACTGAAAATCATTCTTAACAATTGTAACATTAATCAAACTGTACTAAAACATGCTTGCRTATTTTCAATTTTCTTTCTAAATCATTTACAACAAATAAAACCACTTGAAAATGATCATGTAGCACATAGGCCGCCCAATTATTGCTTGAGAGAAAGAAAAGAAAAAAAAAATAGCGAAATGCGTCATGATCCCTTGCTTCGCGGGATCAAAAACTAGTCGGTCACAGCGTGCGCAACCGTTCTTTCCTGTCTCGCAAGCAATAGTTGGGCATTCTATGTGCATCACAGTGATGGATCCACCTGATGGATGGGAACAAATTCTTCCCAACTCATCCCTTATTCCCCCATTCACCCCTTTTCCACCTCACTTTCACTTTCCCTGTTTTTGCTTCTCACTACTTTTTTGGGGCCCCTTTCTCCTTGGGTTACCTGCACCCATACATGAAGAAAATCCTGGATCTACCCCTATAGATTACAAGTCAAGCTGATGCTACGAATAAAATTAACGCATTTTCATTTGCTAGTTAACAGCATTTATTAGCGTAAGGGCCGGTTCACACTKTGACATAAGCAGAAGCAGAAGCAGAAGMAGTGTATTTTGTATGTGTGAACCGGGGAAACAGAAGCGGAGATAGAAGCAGATGATAATGAAAACTTTGTCATTTTTTTCTGCTCCTGTTTCTGCTTATGTTGAAAGATTACGAGTGTGAACCGGGACAACACAAGCAGAAGAACATGCTTCTGTCAAGTGTGAACAAGCTTATGCTTCGGTCTGTGCTTATGTCACAGTGTGTTAGTTTTCAGCAATCATGATTTCATATGCTTCTGTGTTCATTATGGCTAAAAACTATTGGATGACTTAGCGTTGGGCTTCCTKTGAGAATCCTTTACACAGGAAACCCATCGCTAAGACAGACTGAAAAGAGATACGAGAAAACTAGATGTTCTGTTCTACCTGTCATTCTTTTTACAAAAGATTTATGTTGGATATATTCTAGATATACTTGTCATACTAATTGATAATATTGTGTTGGATATGACTAACTGTTAAAAATCTCTTCATTTGATGGAAAAAGAACAATTTTTTAGGGCTTACACTGATTCCATAAGTCGGTACCAGTTCCCTCTCTGCCGACAAATGAAAAAATCAAGGAGTGAATACTACGACTTGTGGAATCAGTCTAAGCTGGAGATACACCAGTTACACTTTTTAAACCTTCTGCAACTGTTTATCCACCCTTATTCACACTTGGAATTCCACATCAGTTTGTTTGGTTGGTATTGGAGGTAGTTTGGATGGAGTTTTCATTTGAAATGTCTTATTTTCACCAGTGTCTTTCCTTTGTATGCCATTCGTTTCAATACCACCATCATGTTTGTCAGTATTAACAGAACCTTAAACAGATAAAGAAATCAATTTGCATATAAGAAGAGATATGTAGCTTAATACTTGAATACATAACAATTAGACCTCGAGGTCGAGTGGACTACGAGCTAATAGCCCATGAGTCCGAGTCCGCGAGGCCGAATGGGCTATTAGCTCGTAGTCCACGAGGCCGAGAGGTCTAATTGTTTTAGTATAAACATACTAATTGGTCAAATAATGAAAACAAATTGAAATATCCTTAAAATGATTTATAATTTATAATTTATTTATTTTGATTTTCCCGCGAGTGGTCTATCACAAATTAGACCATTAGTAGAGTAGCCAATCACAGCACAGTATGAGTGATAGACCATTAGTATGTTTATACTAAATGTATTTAGTATATAGCTAATTGGGGGACACTGTACTGTCACACTCACTACCTCTACATTAAAGTATTTTTAGCACACAACACTTCTCACATGTTGATTTTTACTGAGGGAGGAAAACCGGAGAACCCGGAGAAAAACCCTCATGGCAAGGGAGAGAACAACACATCAAACAAACTCAAACACACATATAGTCTTTGGACCACGGAACAGATAGGGTTTTTATTCACTTGATCCCATGGTATCCAATAATTCCTAGTTAATAATAATTATACCTACCATTGTGAAGATTACCATTACTTAATGGAGGTTGTTTCTTCATTTCAACAGCTGGAGTCTGAAGTGTGTTTTCTTTATTCATTGTTTTCTTAGGGCCATCRATTTCATCCATATTATCATATGATTTATTGACTAGGCCTTTTTTGTCTACGGTGTTTTGAGGTGATAGGTTTTGAGAGTGACAAGACTCGGCTACGCTTATTTGCTTGGAGTAGATACAAGGCACTGAGTATTTCTTTTTAAGTCTGAAAAGAAAGAATGATATTATCATAAACATTCTTAATGTATATATTATGAGTGTACAATGCACAATAAAAAAACATCCCATCTTGCATTTGACACATAGTCTTCTTCATGGTCCCCTGCGCCATCTTGAAAGGTAGCCGTGCCTTTGCATCGAAGCGAGACAACCGTTGAATGTGCAATGATAGAAACCTTGTTTCACACCTAAAGACAATTATTCACAGGTTTATATCATTTCATGCTCAACAGTTGTCTCGCCTCATTATAAAGACACGACTACCTTTCAAGATGGCGCAAGAAACTGTGAAGGAGACTATTGATATGGTTTGCAATGTGTGGGTGTCGCTTCAAATAGAATATTTCTCATTAATTAATGTGATGTATAACAAGAGTTACCAGGGTTGACTGGTAACGGGGCTTGATTAAAATTGTTGTGTATTAAAAGATAAACACTGTAAAAAAGTAGGCGAAATAACTTACTGACGTTTCGGACGTTAATCCTTACTCCGACGAAGGATTAACATCCAAAACTTCAGTAAGTAATTTTGCCTACTTTTTTATGCTGTTTAATTTTATCTTTTTACACAACTGCTTCTTTAGAAATACTGAAGCAGTTCCCACCATTTTGATTAAAATTGGACTTAACCAAAGCAGTTGTAGTCTCTAGCTAATCTCTTAAACTGGTGACGGCGATCAAAGATGAAGATACCTAGTATGTTTAATTCAAGCATAGAAGTCTGACTGGGAGAGAGAATCTAGAGTCATATTTTAGACTAGATCACTAATGTCTGCCGACAAGTTTTGAATCACAAGGAAATATTAAAAAAAACAATTCAATGAGCAAACTACAATACTTGCCTATAGCATATAATCACTATAGCAACCACTGCCGCAATGAATAAGAGGACAAATAGAATTGCTGCAATCCTCCAGTAGTCTATATAAAATGTAAAAAGAAAATTTTATATAAGAAATGGATAAGACCACCTCATCCTCTCTCAAAGTGAACGCAATTTTACTAGCAATCATTTCCTATAACAAATCAATACTGACTTTCAATTAATGTCAGTTAATGTCAGAGGGGTGTAAGGTAATATAGTTGCTCAATTAAATTTGAAGACATCTGATAGCTTGATAGAATGCAAGTATTATCAGTGAATAATAGGGTGGATTTTATATGCAGGTAAAAAACAATTCAATTTCTTGTCATGAATGTACTGTGCCATAGCGGTGATGTGCTCTGAAATCATTATTTTCATTTGGTGTTGATACCAGGTGAGGTTCTGTGATCTTGCTGTGATCCGTGCCTTTGCAAAGTCATATGAAATCCACTCTTGCTTCAGTTATACAAACCTCGACTTTTGACTAAATCAGGGTCTTCTCCAATTCTACATTCTAATGAGACACTGGGATCTGTAGCTTTAGTAGGTGTATCATTTGTTTCCTTCTGACACTCTGCAAGAATGAGATATATCCCATTTCAAAACACATTATTTTGTACATATAAATTACAAGCAAAACCACAATAACAACAGCACAATCACACATCACATGCAGTAACAGGTCTGTTGGTTCAGGAAGGAGTCTCCCAGGACTATTGAACATGCAATATTATTTAATATGAAACATTTAAATACTTGATTACTGGTCAATAAATTATGTATTATCCACCACCACACCAGCAATAACAATAACAACAGCAACAACAACAACAATAGCAGCAGCAGCAGCAACAACAGCTGTAACAACAGTAACAACAACAGCAGTAACAACAAAAACAATAGCAGCAACAATAGTAACACCGACAACAGCAACAGCAACAGCAACAACAACAACAATCCATTTGGCTCCAAACATTAAAATATTGTTTTCAGTTTGCACTTTTAGAGATATAAGGTTAAACCATTTTTGCGTAAATGTTTTAGATTCTAAAAAGTATTATTTTATATTCTGGATTTCTTTTATACCATGCATATAAGAATAGAGTCATAGATGTTGAGGTTTGAAGGAACATTTAAGATAATCCTTTTGTTTTTCTGCAGCTTCACCTTGAGTACTTCTTTAATGCATGATAATTTAACCATAAATATTGACATTGTGTTATACAGCAATATGCAGAAATTATGATCATTTTGAATGATATTCCAAGTATATCTAAAATATATCAGAAATTATGGGATATCATCGCCAATATTTTTTTGAAGTTGCCTAGCACTAGTACTTTCTGAAAAAAATATTGGCGATGATACCCCATAATTTCTGATATATTTTATATATACTTGAAATGTGAGTCAAAAAGTCATAATTTCTGAATATTGCTGTAAAATGAAATGTTATGTATATAGTAATGATTTATTGCCCGTTACGATATCAGGAACACGATTGTCAAGCTTAATGAAGTCAGTTTGACTTACCACAAGAAGGATTTACATTAGATGTATTACCAGGCAGATTATGACTTGAAGTTATAGAAGCATTAATAGTAGTATTAGGAGCAATCGATGATATTAGTTCAGCAGTGTTATTTCTTGTTTTAGTAGCAAACGGCATTATTGCAGTTAATGAACCATTCCATCTACCTGTCACGTTTACTACAACGGTTGACGTTACCCAACGGTACGTCATTGACGGGCAGGAACACACAGATAACTCACTCTTATCGCTACTGGTGACGACAGTAGTGCTGATTGTTGGAGAYGGGGATATTGACGTAGATAGGACTGAGCTTGATGTTGTGGGTGGCGAAGTTGGAGATTCAGGTCTTATGCATCTGAATGTACCTACAGTTTTAGAATCTGCACATTTTGGATCCTTATAGTGCTCTGCAACACAGCAATTATTGTATGTCAGTGCCAGATGTAGTTGCATTTGACTCAACATTGCTTACTTCAGATATCAARCTTCATTCAATTAACATGTAAAGACACCGATAGGTCCAATGATTAAAGCATAATACTTCAGTCRAAGTCATTTAAATACACTTGAACCTCTATTTTAAAAGCAGTCACCTTCAGTAAAGAACAGGTGACCGTTTAATAGAGGTTGACCTTTTAATAGAGGTCATGTTTTACAGTAAATGTACAAGAGAATTGACATATGGGGAACTCATGAGTGGCTGCTTAATGGAAGGTGACTGCTAAATAGAGGGCCACTTAATAGAGGTTCAACTGTAGTTTTATACTTATTATCATTGGACCTATCGGCATCTTTAAATGTCCATGGGAACGCAATCCCTCATAATTATATTTCCCATAACTCTCCATAATAATTCATTATTTAAGGAATAAAAGACGAAATTCCGTGTTTGATACTCTGATCAAAACACGCGGGATGTAGGGAGAGCAGGAGAGAAGCGTAGGAAACCACGACGCGTAGCGTATCCTAAATATTTTAGAAAAGGTATTCAACTTTGTATTAGATCATGATTATATGTACCATTTGATCCACAAACATAGACTCTGAACTTCATGCGTATCTCATTATCACCATCATTGTTACAGTGACCTCCACTAGTCTTGTCAAGTGAACTTTTACCTCCATCAGAAGTAGCTGAAAYAAACATTGATTTATAAGAAAAAGAGCTTTTAATTAACAATTTTAGGGATCAATCACAAATATTAGAGGAAACTATGTCATGTGTAGTAGAAAATGTATGCTACTTTTTTAAATTACTTTTTAACTATTGATTGTAAAGTTTCGAGACTCTGTGAAATGCTAAATATATTTTTATTATCATTATCATTATTGTTGTTGCAGTCAATGTGTAGTAAAATTAATGCAGCAATCTCACTTACCCAAAAAGTAGTATGTTGTGTTTGGCTCAAAATAAAAATYTTTGGAGACAGGACTTTCTTCTTTGAAGTCAATGCGATAGAAATAATTTGACAATGAATCAGGAGAATCGCATTTATACAACAACTTGTTCTTCAACTTTTTACTTCCTCCACCAAATGTTGCATTTGAATTGATGTGACAAGAGTTGTAGCTTTGAAAATCATAAACAATCCAGAGGTTTTCATAMAGTACTCCTGAAGATGGCTGGCTTTCCATGGTTTGCATGATAAGGTTTTCAAAAGGGCAAATGATWGGCAGCACATCTTTTAATTTAACGCTCATCTCCAGTTCACCTCCATAGCAGAAGCTTTTAAGATTGTTGTCACTTTTGTTATGGTTCTGAAAACTAAATGAGTCATACTTGTCAATACATACTTATTGTAAGCAAACAATCACTCAAAATGGTCATGTTTTAAGAACAAAACAACAGCCTTCAATTTTGACATGTTTCGGTGATCAATYGCTTTCCTCAGATACTTTAATGGTACTGTATAATGTGTATAAGAATTAGCATAAATTGAAGTTTGTCTGGATTTTGTTCTTTCTTTCAATTTGRGCGGTGGAGCTTTTCGAAAACGCGTTCAATCATTGGCTGATTAGTATCAAGCTCCGCCCCAAGTCGCAGAAAAACCTAAATCCCAACTATTTCCTTTGAACATTGAAGTCGCGATGCAACGGTTTCTGCTGTACTGGCTAATGACAGTCTTGATAGTAACTGGATAGATGATCTACTACATGTATTTACTGATGTACACTCCATCAAGATTAATCATTTGATGTGTCTCTTTCACTTGTCCATTTCTCTGATTATAAATAGAAACAAACACTACTTTCATATTATTATGACTGTTAGTGTCATTGGTTTGCTGACAAAAAAATTAACTATATCTCACCATGTTTATCAACTTGCATTTCCAGTGTCATAAACAAAACTTATTGATAAAATATTTGAAATGGGTAGTCTCCTCTCAGCCGTTCTTAGTGGCAGGCTCCCTGCTCCCCGCCAACTAGACGAGTTATACATAAGTTACATATAAGTTGTTGTTAACTAGGGGACAGGGAGCCCGCCCCTAAGAACAGCTGTGAGGAGACTATGAAATAAACTTAAAATTTGAAGGCTAACAATTATTTTAAAGGATAATTTTCGAACGTTTTTGAACTAACAGTTCATGAATCATCAGGAATAAACAGAATTAACATATTGTACAGAGTTATAAAGCAGTTCAAGTGATCCCATGGGGGAAAGTGTTAGATAGTATGCTTCAGTTTGTTTATTTAGTGTTGGTTGGAAGCAACTGATAAACAACACTTCCAAAGTCCTTCATTTAGGTAAATGAGTGGCTCTACCGATGATGTACCAAACATAACTTAATATGATGATTTCCAATTCATCAATAGAAGACAACCATGATGGCCTGTGGATAGCCAAAGCAGCTGATACGTTTCAGGCATTTCACCATGGCAACACACTACATCCTGCTGACTTACTCTTTGTGTAATATTGGTTTTCAATGAATGGACAGTCATATTGTTCCCGTGGTCATTGCAATTCAAAATGAAGCACATATTATGTCTGAAATGTATTCATGATCTTTTTGTTATGTCTATGTTCACAATATTTTTCTTGATGATTTCCGTGATATGTTAAAAAGATAAAATAAGCAATTTGTGAAAGAAGCTAAAAAAATATTATAGAAATACAAAATATTATTTTTACAATATATTTAGTATCCTATATAGTCAATTTCCCAGAAAACTTTTTAGTTCATTGCTCAAAGCCAAGTTCTACCTACAGTAGCTCTAAAAAATATAGTTTCTAATTTTATTTTATCGAGTGGTTTTATATGAGTTGTGGCTACCTACTGCAGTGACAACATCAATATGAAATAATGAATCATGCCCAAAAATAGATATTAATACCAAGTAATTTAAATTATGAATATTCAATTGGAAATACTTAAATTAGTAATTTTTAGATGATTTGAATTTTAAGGACTTTAAAAACTTTGATAAATCTACCAATTTTGAGCAATATTTTTGCTACAAAAAGTTTGGTGTTCAGCAAACACAGGAAACACTGTATGAGTCATAAACCAGGTTCAACAATTGCTTGCGTAGACAACACCCAACACATCAACATCTATATTTAACAGTGACTTGCGCAAACTTTAGCAATGCTGAACTTTGCACGTACAGAGAGGTGTAATTATACAACTGCAACATGTTGGGGCCCTGTGTCTTGAAATCAACATCCAGAAGTCACAGATACCCTGCTAAAAAAATATATATTCTTGTTCTAAAGAAATACTGAAAATACAGAGTAGACACTTGCATTTTTGGACTGTTAGTCAATAACATGTTATATTGTATACTGTAACGAGGTTGAATGTGATATATCTTTTCATACAAGCCTTAGAAGTATACACCTTAAGCAGAACTACCGGCAGGGTGTGTATATGGACACGACTTAAATAACAGCGCTCATGAAGTCTTTTTAAATTAAGAAATCTTTCTTTCACTTTCACTGTATTTGTTCCACAGAGTTTTGAAATTTCATTTATTTATTTTAAGCTATATTTGATTCTTAGGATTAATAGTATGTTTGCTGTACTAAGATTTTATAAACCAGGTTTTAAACCTCTTTACAGTGATGTGAATACCTATAAGAGTCTGAAATATTTAACTGGACAGGAATTCAACAGATAGCCGACATTTAACCTCCTCTTATTTGCATTTCTAATATAGGTCATAAATATCTATTTTTGATCTAAAAGCTACAGTACATGTATAGGATGTTTCAGTAACACTTATCTGAAGCATAGAGCTATAAAATGTTTATTTATGTTTTGCTTTAACTGTTTCAAAACCTTCAGCATTTAATATTATGAATTATACTGAAACAGACTTGTTGAGTTGTCAAGGAAGTTAACCTTAGATGACTCTGTAGTCAAGCATTTCCTGCTAGAAATTGCAAAATCTCTACGTGTTTTTGCAAGTATATAGATCTAATTTATAAGATACAGATGTTACAAGTGGTAGGAAAATATCATACAGGTGCTTGTATACAGAAGTGTTTGTAATATGGCTAGACAGTCTGATAAACAGATAYAGAGAGGTGTTTGGTGGAAATATAATTTTGTAGAGTGAGTTTTTAATTTAAAAAAGACATTTTCATTTTATTTTCACAAACGTGTCGGAGATTCTGCGGCAGCTGATGACAGATGTTTCACTAATGAACAACAACGTTCTGAAAATAATCAACAACCTTCAAGAAAAATGTGAATAAATAAATAATATTTTGCCTACTTCCCTCAACTAACAACTTTCATACAGCTAAAATATAAACTCAGAATTTTATCCTAGTCTCACAAAATAACAAATATTTCGGCCTTATAAGTTGTTTCAAAGCTTGGCTATCGAAATCGCAAACCAGGAGAGAACCAACTAGCTGGAAAGCACAAAAATAAATAAACTCGAGCTACACGACAAGGAAATTTATGAGCTTGTACGTGTAATGTAAAGGTAAAAGTATATTTTCAATGTTTCTTTTTGAGAAAAAATATTCCACGTTGACAGAGCATCAACTAAATGATGTCTTATTAAAGTCCATCAAAATCGAGATGGTTTGTTTTAGTAGCAAGAAAACCGCGCAAAATGGACTGATTTGCATCGATGGGCTCAAACACATCACTCACTCTTTAAACTAGCGCCTAACATGGTACAAGATTATTCGTAGAGATACTTACTAAGGATTGTTTGTAGTCCACATAACTGACTTGTAGATGTCCGAAGAAACCAGCGTCCATGTCGTAAGAAAAAAATACAACGACAAACTTTGTGTAAACTTGTTGTAGGTTGAAGTCGTCGTCGACGTCATGGTGTGCGATTTTTAGCGAATTTCTTGTTCGTGATCTTCACATTTTATAGAAAAATTGTCAGAATCATATCAATCAATGCAGACCTACTAAGTCTACATCGAGAAAATTTCGAAAGAGTCCTAAAATGGACGTATCTAGCAGAGCTAGAAATGTTGTTGTTTAGAAACTACTCAACAGCGAGAGCATGCGCAAGTGCGACTAYTTGCGGTCATATGCATCCGATTACGTAAATTGCCGAAATGACGTCCGTCTATTCGACGACTTCAAAGAATCGAAACTTCAACTTTCTAAAATGAATTGCTCGTAATAAAGTGAAAATAGGTTGACAAAAGGCTAATACATTTTAAAAAAATTGGATTTCGAAAGAAAAAAGGCTATGACACAAGTTGCGTAACATTTAAGATACGTATACGTGCAGGACGGAACACTAGTAGGGGCTGATTGCATGTGTTGAAAACGAAGGATGATGTGAAAAAACAAGTTGTTATTTGAGAGTACAATATGTAGCAGAGACAAATATGGCCTTTGACTAGGTCGGTCTTGAAGCAAATCTTGTATTGTCAAAACACAGAATATAACTATCGAAGAAGAAAGACGGGAAAGAAAAAAAAGTTCAAACTTTCGAAAGAATGGAAACTGAAAGATAACTTTTATTTTTAAATGTTATCTTTTTGAAACATTACAGGAAACGTTAAGGACAATGTCGTCTTTTTATTTCTTCGTCTTTTGAGGTAACAAAATGAGGAAGTAAAGCCGTTTAAGTTCATGAAATTTATTATTTATTATCTTTTTACGATTTTACAATGCAGCTGAAACTCGACCATGCTTTGATTTGTGTGGTTCGACAATCAAGCTTTTCATTGGTTCTTCTGCCTTTGTTTTTGATGGTCCTTGAGCTCTTTTCCTCCACACACTAGAAAATATCATACATAGTCGATCACAATTGATAAATCATCCAATTATTAGTCCAGAACTGACCCACTTTTTTCAATAATTGTACAATATAAAACGAATAACACACGCGCGCAGATCAAAGAGATAGTAGCGCGCGACAGGAAATTGTTCGCTGTTATTTACACTCTGAATTTTTGGCTATTTTTTCATACAATAATCATYGAGAAAAGTGGGYCCAGTTCTGGACTATGCAATTATCTTCTCAATTAGTTATCCATCTATAAATGTCACTTACTAGTATAGATATGGATAAATAATTAATTTGTAGTTGATTAAGCTTCATTACTTTACAATTTATCGTTTTCAATCATTCCCATGAAATTCAAAAGACCGGCAGCCATGTTGGAGGAACGAACAATTTATAGATACTAAGTACTATAAATAGAAATCTTTCATTGAACATGTTGAATCTCCTTGAATCTCCTCCAAGATGGTCGCTGTGACGCAAAAAAACACAATATTTACCATACGTAGAGCACAGCAATGATGTTAATGACAAGTGACAGCCCTAGTACTACCCCAAGACAAATTGCTAGGACTTCCCAATGATGTACTAAAAAAAAAATAGAATTAAGCTATTATTCCCTGAAACAGGAATTTCGAAAGCACGCCTTGTCTGCAGAGGAGGTTTGTGGTCTCCTCCACTTATACCTCTCCACTTTTGCACATTACGTCATCGTTGCCATGTTGGATGATGATAACAAAGTATTCCTCATTAGTCTCACTTGTTCAGTCATCCAACATGGTGCCGATAGCTTTGTTCKTTATTTCTCRRGGGACTTTTGATCATGTGGTTGMAACCCAAGAATGGACTCCCATGGAAAGATTTATGGCCWGTATMAATGGAGATACRAGTTTCTTTTTCCTTTCAGATTCTTTTCCCCCTTCCTATCTCATACAACAAATGTTTTCCATGAGATTATCCCCCTTCCTCCCCCACAATSAAGTTTTTTGTTTTACCACAGGAAACCCATGAAGCATGAATGATGTTTGMCCTTACTTGACTCAACAGTTGTCCTTGATGTACAGGTGCTGACTGTGTCATTGTGGCAAGTCAAGGATCCTTTTGATTTGTTGGTAGAGGATGTCAAACTCTCTTTACAACTATTATCTTTAAATATAAACAAAAATAGAAAAAAAGAAGAAAAATGAAGGAAAAACTAAAAGAATGATTGGAAGATGAAATCATTTTACTAGAACTGAAGTGCTGGCAGTAATAAGAAGATTGCATTGTTAATAATCATAGACTTAATATTAAAATAATAATAATAAATTAAATTTATAAATAATAATAATAATAATGATAAATAATAATAATAATAATAATAATAATAATAATAATAATAAATTTAATTCAACTATTACTTGGTAAGCTTGCGTCACAAACTGAAAACTTAATTCTCAAAGAAATTCCTTCTTCTTCATTCTTGCAATGGCCCTCACTGGTATTGTTTAAAGATCCTTTGGTTCCATTTGATGTTGCTGATAGAAACAATAAAGAGGTTTGTACTTCGCTTAGTATCTCTCTCCTAACATCTTTTCCTTAATACAATCATATCTAAGTACATCCAATGACTTACCTAATAAATAAATACTGCTAAAATTTGCGTGCTTGGAATAATGTACATTTGCAAAGTTGATATTGTAAAAACTAAGCTTCCCTGGTTGACTACATCGATGTAAGAGTCTATTTTCCTTGACTGCTGTGTCTACTTTACAGGAATAAAAGTCTTTTTCATTCACCATCCAGATATTTTCATATAAATTATCTGCYGGTTGCTTGTCTTTTCTTTTAGATAAAACTGTTGCAATATTTGGACAGATAATTATGATGTTGGAGTGGCGACTAACAAACTTGGAATGAAAAGCTTTGTTGTTTTTGAAGTCATTTTTGGAAAAATGGAATCTGAGAGTGAAAAATATGTATAAATAACGGAAACATGAACACTTAACTGTGATAAAAGCTCCAAGTAACGGACCACTATAGTGTTAGTAAAGCAAGAGTATTTTCTAGGGGGAGGGGGTGGAGGAAGTTGATTTTAGGGAAAACATGAAAAAACTCAAACTCCAGTCTTACGACAATGTTTTTGCGTTCCTAAAATATAGTTGTCATTAATTTAACATTTGAAATATTTTAGCCCAATGACGACAATGACCATAGGAACATTCGCTTTCATCAAGGTCGTCAMATCAATCAGCTTACATRTTGTTAAGTGGACTCCAGTAGATRGAYTCGTGGTATTCACCTAACACTCGACACCATAAAGAAATAAAAACCAACGAAAAGCATGGCTTTGGATGTAATGTTAGCACGTTCATCGAGGTTCATACAGYTGATTATCGAATGCTTGAAGACCAGGTTTCAAGATCTGATTGACGCCATATTTATTTAGCTGTAGCGATGTTCAGCGCTTTTAAATCCAAAACACTTCGGGTCTCTATACGACGTGAAATCACTCAAAGAAAATTAAATTCACCACTGGATATTAATGATAAATGTTTTCTAGGAATGAAGCCATCTTGAGTAGAGAAAACTTCGACAAATGTAAAATTTGTCGCTTCATCGACGACAGCGCCTTTGGAAAGTCAAAATTTGCCAGGCGTTCCTTCCCTATCATTTCAGCTGATACGCGTATTATCCCTATAGGGGGAGGGGTGAACAAATATGAAAATATGGGAAAAAATGAGAACGGAAAAAATGAAGAGGTAGATTAATTATTGAACACAACAAGAACTACAGAAGCAAATGGAGAGCCATTTTATGTCCATCGGACACTGGCCGGCACTTTTTGTTTTACTTAACACGCGCACTTTCTTTGGCATGACGCACATAGGGGCAGTATATCTTTCATTTTGAATATTTAAAGATACCTGAAATTTGGTTTGAAATTGCCGCTTCAACGTAGCCCATACCTGATACATACAAGCATCACAGTCAACAAATGACATTTTACTTTCGTGCAAATATTCCCTCTGGGATTGCACTTTGGATGTGTGAGTTGGCGCTTTTGCAGTATGTGCGTTAGCATTGCTCGTGTAAACAATCTTAGCACTCCATCTCCCACCCAGTCAGACTCAACAAACACAAAATATACTAGTAGAATAAATTTTAGAAATAAGTTTATTTATAAATATTATAATTGATGTACAAAATACAGAATGGATTGCAATTGACTATACTAATGTTTACATACAATCTATTTATAAAGAATTTATTATCTATTTAATGCAAGGGTATGCCTATTTATAAAATACTATGTGTCTGTCTACTCTATTTAACTATACCTCTATAAAGCGACCATCCTTCTAAGGACTGACCACGCCCTAACRACAAATTATCCAATATCTTGAATGACTGTCTCTAAACAGCAAACAAGGTGCCCAAACAATATTCAATATACAATATAGTTTTCCCAACAATATGTAGTCTCTTCTAACAGCCTCGGCTTGCAGTTTCATGAAATAATTCCCCCCCTAAAATAATTTTGGAAGTCGCGGCTGTTAAATGAGACTAAACAATATAGGGATGATACATTTCTCTGGAGCTTGAAAAAGATTCATGGCAATCTAAATAGCAGTTGTTCAACAGATGGATGAAGGACCCTCTTCTTGTTCAAAGCTCGATTAGAAATAATCCTGAGTTAACTTTTAGAAAACCTATGGAGTTGAACCTGGATTAACGCTAATCGGGCTTTGAACAAACCGGACCACATCTCCATTTAGCCAGGCAATCATCTTATTATCAATGATGATGCAAGCGAGCTCACATACTGCACACACGTAAACAGTGTAGCATTTTACTGTAATTATATTGAAGATCACAATTATTTATGAAGAAAGAAATATAAAATAATTTCAATAATCCTATACTGTCTAAAACTACAGAATAAAAACTRGAAAATTTATACAATAATTTTTTAGGGCAGTAGGTCTTTTAAAAAGTGTTTTGAATTGTACTGTACATGTGTTGGTCATATGTTTCTATAGTTTTCACCAAATGATGATTTTGGATTTAAGAATGAATACCTTTCTACAGAAAGACATAAATTTATATACTCTATAGACAAGCATATAATATCAACCAGACATTCACTATATGCTAATGATCCGTCAAACAGCAAATAGCTGCTATAATCCACGTCTTGATTTCAATGAAGATTAACTACAAATGTTACCAATTTGAAACACGGTTCTTGCTTCTCTTTCAGTAGAATATTACAGTAACTGTATCTTATTCCTCCATATGTGAAACTYTCCACATTTTATACATTTTTCTCTGTCTTGTTTCGACTAAACATTATCCAAGTGTCTTTAACCTTGTGCTTGTTGTCTTGCATATTTGACACATTTGTATTCAAAATGTTTTGTTATATTCATTGTCTAACACATTTTCCTTGCATATTTTAATTTTGATGTCCTTCTTTCCAGACATTTAGTAATCCAATCTCCATTATGATAACAATGATCAACCATTTCTCTTTTTCCCATCCAAAGAGACCACATGTCTATATATATCTTCTATCCAAGAGTTCAATATACTCATAATTCCTACAGCCATTTCTTTCAATCATTGGTTGATTCTTCCCTTTAGATGTCAAAGACAGCACTAATACTGATATTCTGCAAGAAGCACATTGCGATCAAATGCAGCTGCTAAGTGGAGTGATCCTTCTGGCACAGTTCAGTAGTGTCTTTTATATACTACTATACTTTGTCGACCCGTGAGTTATCTCTGAGTAGTGTGTGCACAGCGGATGAACGCTTGTCATCAACTGTCTCTGATCTTCTTTGGGCTTTGTTTCTAATGCTAAAAAACATGGAATGAATCATTACTAAGAAATGATAACCAGGTAAATCAATCAGTACAGATATAAAAGAACAAATGAATCAATGAATTGATAATAAAAGGAAGAATGAATAAATGTATCAATCAATCAACCAATCAATCAATCAATCAATCAATCAATCAATCAATGATAAAACAAAATGTAGAATAAATAAAAAAATAAATCAATATAATAAACAACTAACTCACCATATAGTATAAAGATTACATGAAATTGAAACCACTAAAAGTGCACCCATTACTGCCATCAATATAAACCATGTAGCATCTAAAATAACATATTACTCAATAAATAACATTATTGGATAACCTTGAGTATGATATGAGAAATTATTGGATGATAAGATGAATTATTGGATAATGTTCTATTAATAAGCCTCAGGCAAAAGAAGATACAATATATTGCACAAAATGATATCAAGAACTATTTTCAAAAGTGCATACCTCTTGCKATATCTGCGGCTGATCGTTCACCTTTAGCTGTCTCCATATCTGGAGATTTGTTAACAGTTTTTTCTGTTCCAGCATTTGTTTGTTGATCCCGTTTTGTAACATCTGCGTTCTGCATTGTTTCAGGTGTGATTTCATATTGTTTTAATGTTCTTATTGTTTGTTCTGTTAAGGGAGTTGTTGTAGGAGATACTGTGGTAGTGGGTTCTTGTGTTGTAGGTATTCTTGTGCTCTTTGTTGTTGGTTTAGTTGTTGTTGTTGTTGTTGGTTGTGTTGTTGGTGGTGCTGTCGTTGTAGGTGGTTTATCTTGACATAATGGATCTGAAATAAAGCAAGAGCATTTYAAGAATGTTATTTTTTGTTGTGCTGTCCAACCACCTCCTACTTCTACCTATATTTAATGCATACAATCAARAACATCCCATAATATAATGGAAAGGTGTACTAACCTTGATCATTTAAGCATACATGTATAATAAACTTCATTGATGCAGTTTTACAATGTCCACCTTTGGTACTTTTTAATGAATTCTTTGTTCCATCTGAAGTGGCTAAAAAAAAACAATAAAAACTTTGATATAATTACTTTGTTATATGACTTAGATAGTACACGTGCTCTGATTGGCTAATAACTGCTCAGTTATTTTCCCACTGCGCTCAGTCTGTACTGTCAAGACCTCTGTCTGATATCTTATTATACAGACCTCGCACTTGGTTAATAACCATTCGATATCTGGTTCATATAATGAAAGTGATTGCCGGTGAGTGAGTGAGTGATTGAGTGAGTGGATGAGTGAGTGAGTGAGTGAGTGAGTGAGTGAGTGAGTGAGTGAGTGAGTGAGTGAGTGATGTTATATACTTACAGATGAAATAGTAGTCTTTTCCCTTTTGAAACTCCATAAACTGTTTAGCAGGACTAAACTCCAAGAATACCAGTGGATAATGTTTAAATATTAACGGCGTATCACATTGTAATAATAATCTGTTAGCTTTAAGTGACGTATTAACCCTACAAGTATCAAAGCTCTGCTTATCGACCACCCATAAGTTTTCATACAAATGATCTTTGGCTGGACTTTGGTGCATTTTAACTGGATTTAAAGCAGCATTTGGACAAATAATATTTAGTCGTGACTTTGGAAGAACATTTTGTCGTAATATTGAAGGGCTAGATGAACTTTTTGATGTCTTGAATCTGTGAATTGAAAAGAAAAAGTTCCTTCAGCTTTAAATTAACAATCATTATTGTTGATACATTGTACTTCATGAATTGCAAAATCCTCCCCATATAATGACATGTCGTGAAATTCAGCCATTTGTAGCAAATTATTTATTTTTTCAAAAAAAAATTATAATATATACTGCAGTACATATATTTCAACTTCATGGTGTTTCAAAGTCTAAACTCTAAAGTCTGCTAAGTATTTAATATGTAAAATGGCATGAACACAGATTTATATTACATGTACAAATTCTTGTTCACTGTATGGACTACTATTCTAAGCTATTACATCATCAGAAAATCACTAAGAGTTTAATCACATATACAGAATTTATGATGCTTTAAGGATTAACAGTACAATTACTTATTTAGTCTTTAATCATGAATAGTGTTCATAATGTTGGCTTCCTTAGAGAAAGGACTAACCCATTACTATTGTTAGATGGATTATAATAAGTAGTTTATTCTATAATGAAACCACAACTCCCTAGATCTTAGCCTTGACGTCTCTCTCCCTTAGTCAACGGGTCTGCAACGTTTCTCTATTATATGATAATATAAGGCAACAACAGGTTGAACAGTAGGATACCACAACAYGAACAAAACCTAAATCATGTCTTATCTTGAGCAAACACAAAAAAGGTTACTGRAGCATTTATTCCTTTGTGTAAAGCAATCACAGGTTATACCTTATAATGGCTAATGGCGCCACTGTTATTATTAAATAAATGCCTGACCGATCTCTATTCATCTAAACACTATACTGAATTTGTTAAGTCAATACTGAGATATAAACAGATGGTAGAAGGTAGCTAACATGGAGACAAGAGTCTTAATCAATTCTTCCTGTTGTGACCACAAGATATTAATTAAGACTGACTAAAATACAACCATGGGAACTGTGTTAGGCGTGTCTAACCTGTGTTAATTTACATATAACATCATGCGATCTATTAATACAATATCAGTACTTATATATAGAGCTTTCTAGCAAATGTACATGATATACACAAGTAAGTGAATGTCATCCTGTGATGATATATGAACAAATTATGACAATTTACAATGTAAGTGACTTCTGAAAGAATTTAATCCGTCTTCAAAGATACATTGTCATCTAAGTACTTGTACTTTTAATAATAAATCCACAGACACTTTGAGCTACTTGTTTCGTGTACATGCAACCAGGCGTGGGACCTAATAGCCTTGAAGCAAGCCATATCAATAAAATATACATAACGTTACACTGGAAGATTCTATGATATATTAGTCTGCTACAAAGATATTATACATTTATGAGTTTATCACGTACATTCCCAGTGGATGTATGAACAAACTTGTAATCTGATTAGCTACTCCACTAMACGATATCAGCTCATATATACTATGAGTACAGAAAAATAGAGACTACAATATTTGGCTGTTTTGCTAGTGCAAAATCAAGATGCTGGACAAACCCAACAATYATTTCTTAATGCTTATCATTTTGAAACAGTAAATTGGTTGCAAAAAGCATTACTAACATAAACAATTTTATTAGAAAAAAAGATGTACTATAATATTATATATATCCTAGTAAATGAAACAAAAGTTAATTTCTTGCTTGTATGTATAATGTGATAATCTGATAACCATGAAGTACCTATTAATGTCCTTAATTAGTTTGAATTAGTTGTAAATGTTTACTATTTTCAAGTGCCATTTCTCCATGTGGTATACTTCCTTGCTCACCCATGCTAAGTTAACAGTCAAGATGTCTACAGATTAATATAGTAATCCTACCAAATGCTACAACAATGCCATTGAAATATCAACAAAATACAGGAAATAGAAACCTTTTCTACCCCAAGCTTGGAACAACTTTTCCTACTATTTGTTAGATATGAAACTAGTTTTGATTGCTTGGCTATTTTTTCATAAAATAAATATCAATTTTACAATAAATGCATGGGAAATACTTCGAGTTTTRGTACTAAATAGTATAATATTTGCTGAACTTACATGTACCATAGAGAAGCTACTGGTTCATACTTTAACTGGTTTACTAAATCAGATCACATTTTAGAAAGATTATGTTTAATATAACATAAATAATAGCGATAACAATGGTAGAGTTATGATAWAAGTTAACAAAGTCATAATAATTATTATTAGTTAATAATAATTAGCTACTGATAATGATCAATTTTATTCTTTGAGGAATGACTACATATTTGTAAGCGGAAATAAACTCTAAGAAGAAAAAAAAAACAGAAAACACTGCCTGAGAACACTTATGGCTTCAGACTAAAAAAAGCATTCTTCTTAGACAACAACCTTCTTGATGTATTTCCCACAAATTGACCACGTTTACATAGATATAATACTGTACAGAGGTCAAAATGATATTTCGATATAACAACAAACACTACAAAAGTTCTAGGTTAGTTTATATTTAGTCTGTGGTCTCAAAAGTCATATGTTTTATGTGATGTCTTGAAAGCGATAACCTTGACAAGTATCAAATTGTTGCCTTAAGAGTTTCTAACCACAATGTCAAGGCAATTACCACACATACATTTTATTATACCATTACATTAAGTACAAGAGAAATGTCATAGTTTTTGAGGCACATTTTTGGATAGGAATAAGACATGAAATAAAACAATACCTTTCAACATTGTAAAGTGTTAGAATTGTAAAGTGTGTTTAAAACAGCTGCATTAGACAGGGAACAAAATTAAAAATGAAGTTCCATTGTAAATTATATGGTTGTAAAAGCACAAATGATATTAGAACTTTTATATTAGAATAATATTTTACAAAAAAAAAATATGTTGATAATGATCATAATCCTGAGCTATTATTTCATACACTTTTACAAGAATAAACTAGTCCATTATTAAAAACCAGAAGGAAATAAGTTTTACRTTTTCTGATTCTCTTGGACTACCTTTAAGTTTCAAGGTTTTAGGAAATATCACCTTTCACAGCTAGTTTTTTTGCCAACTGCCAACTGGAGGACAAACCACATACAGTGAGACTCTGTATATGGACCCTCACAGCCAAGCGATTTAACACAAATTCAAATCAATAGGTCAACAGACTAGATTCATGGCCAAAAATTTACAATTAAAACATTTCCTGCTAGTAGAATCCCCCGCCGTGTAGTTCTTGACAAGCAATAGAGAGCTACAGTGAGAGACTTTGCTAGCAGGGAATTGTAACAAAATATCAGATCTATCACAACTGGAAGTTCAAATGAGAAAAGCCTCTATAACTGTTAATTATTCAGTGTCTGCTGCTATTTGCTCTACCCAGGATACAATTAATTACTCAATACTTTAAAATATGAAGAACTACTTAAAAGATTTACATGTTTCAAGAGAAAATACTTGCTTCAATGCCACAAACATTATAAGAACAACACTTAAGGACATTTTCTAAAAAAAATGCTGTACTACGAAACATCAAGTGAAACCTTTTGCATAAAATGAAGGAAAAGTTGTTTAATACGATAAGAAATTGAGGAACTGCATTTGACATGAAGCCACTAATGAAAGGTATTTTCAAAAGTGTGTTTACATAAACTGAATCAAGATGACAGCGAGAAACTACATTCTTCGTTGAATTGACCATAGAAAATGTATAAGAAATATGTTATATTTTTGTAGAGATAAGAGCCCCAAACTGGCCCAAGACGAAACCAGCTTGTTTTGGTTTATTAATCTTTGCTTTCAAGCTCTCTTTCATAGTCAAACATAGCATGAAAACGATTGCATGCAAGGGCATCTGAATTCCACTAGATATCTCTACTAGGTCTTTAGATGTTATCAAAGGGCTCTGCCTTTATACTGATAAAACCCTTGCACGTGATAGGCTATGTAGTTTATCTCATCCTAAGAAATCAACAGTCACCTTCGGGCTGTAGGTGTAATGTCGTCAACATGTGGACCTGTCTTTTGTTTATRACCACAGAAGACATCGGCAAAAAGATGACAAGTTACTTTATTAGGATTAATGAAGAAATAGGACCTGGAGTATGATCAAAATGGATTTGACTTATCTAAAAGCTAGCTTCCTATCTAGACTATCAGGCTCCAAAGAGAAGTATGTGATTCTAAAATATTTTATCTTTGTAACCTGTGGTTTTATCATTTAGGCGTTGTAAAAAGGACTGGTTTTTGCTGAGGAAATACAAATGTGGTTTACAGTTACCTCAAAATGTATCACTTTACTAGTACTGGACAATAAACACAATTTACAAGTTAAAAGAAAATTACAAAAAAATATCAAATTTTCAAGAATGGTTTCAAATTCTGGTTTTCATAGAATGATGAATAAAGTGTGKATATTATATTTTATAGTGTGAAGTATGTTTTCCATTAAAAACCTTTTAAACTTCAATTAACCTATGTTTATTGATCGAATCCCCGGGCAAAATTACRACAATGTTTTCTAGTTGTACACCTAGTWGTCKTTTTATGAAGTTTACGATTTGGCTCTATGAAAAAGGTCTTTGAGTAAGAGTAGATGAACCCTCTAAGATAACAGCTACGCCGCTATCTCGGTCAAACTTAATTAAAACTCGATAGGTAGGACGTTTCAGCTGAAATCGTTTAGGACAAAAGGCGCTAATTGTCGTCGACGTCTATCGGGTTTATCTACAAAGCCTAACTCCAGCGAGTCTAGATTTCTACCTCTCAAACCGCGTATATATAACTTTGCATGTTTTGACTTCAATGAGCATTGWATTGGGTTCCCGATGGAAATAAAACTAAATTTAGCTCTTTTGTTTCTTCTCAGCCCCAAAACGATAAATTTTCAAGCCAAAATAAATAGGTTTTGGAGCAGAAGTGACAGGACTTAATAAGTAACAAAAGCTGAAGGATTACGAAGCGGTAAACACAATTTTCTTTGAGAACTATTGTGAGGTTAATTACTGGACCGCAGAATTCACACATTCAAATTTTTTATGGATCTACAGAATACCTTTCAATRCTGAAAAATAAACTTGTTTTCATAAAATAACAGCTTTTTAGGGTATAGTTTACTYAAAGAATTATTAACAAAACATATTTTTATTGATCAATCTTTACAATCAAAACATCAGTGAAAAAAGCCATTACAAAAGTTGATCAATATCCTGAAAAAATTCTTATACACAACTGATGATATGTTTATCTAAAACTCTACGTAGTGGAACAGCAAAAATTTAATTCGTTGCCTGATCACGCAAAAAAACCTACAGGAAATGAAGATTTATCTTCTTACAAAGCATAAATCGGGTCAAAACGTTGCAAATCTGAGATGAGATCTCTCTTGGGGACCATCGGAGTGCCAARACATTTCAGCATCGCGATAATCAATAATTTATTTTTAAATATTACTTGCTTTATCAAGCAGACATGGTAAACAAACTATCTAATGTCTAAATCTATCAATGGGAACCTAACTAAGACCAAATAAACATGATAAATTAGCTATATTGATGTACGTGCTACTAACTTATGTGTAGTTTAGGTGATTCGACATTAGGATGCGGAATAACGCGCTGTTATCCGCCCCCGTTGTATTCACTCGCTCCTGCGTCTTCCAGAATTGAGGCCAGAAATACTTTATGAACCGGAGTTAGATTTCAGACTTGAGTAAATAAATGGCTCATGATTGCATTTCAATTTTGACAACCAAAGCAAATTGAAGTACRTATCCCTCGTGGACTTTTACAGACACAAATTATCGTTAGAAGTCTGTTAGGTTTTAATATAGCAGTGTTACTTTAGAGAGGAAGGTTTTCCTTAAATCCGAAGGTTAAGACTGCTCTGAAAGSCCCCTTCAACACTTTCAGAACAATTCTTTTCGGGTCATACGGTCACTACCACCACCGTGGATTGTAAATGTACTTTAGCATTAACTTTGTCAAAACAACAAGACAATTAATAATCTTTTTTCATACTTACAATGGGTTTAAATGCGTCCAGTGTAAGGGAACATATATTTCGCTTAAACTCCGAAGAGTGCACTCCAAAATAACCCACAAAACCAGCCCAAGAAGCTTCAAATCGAAGCGTATTGAAGCCATGATAGCTTGATGCTCTCTGTGAAGAGGACGTAACCTTGACAAGGCGTCTTGTTACCTCACTCAGCTGACGTTTTATCAGAGCAAACAAAAAATTCAATTAAAATTGGTGAATGCTCTGTCTTTATGATAATGAGGTGAAATATTTTGCWTTTATCATGCCAATTCCCTCTGATATTCAGTCGTAGTTTTGTTTGGTTTAAAAATTTGACGATGCTCTCTGCTTGATAACACTGAAAGTAAACCATGTGTAATACGTCAATGGACACTTATTACACGAACTATGATTGGACAAATCACTCAGCCATGAACCAATCCTAACACGACTATTATTGTACAGACAGGATGAGTGTTCCCTGAGGCGGGAAACCAGGCCCACCCATCGGTTTTCGCGTTAGGGGACTATAATTGCGGCTACAAAAATCAACAATGGAGTCTTTACTCTGGGCTTACACTACAAAGAAATAGCGCCCTAGTCTCATTTTGTTAATTACAGGTCGATATTATAGGATAGCTAWTTTTTTTTGGTGCCAACTCTCCCCGGCTAATTCATTTGCGCGCAATGGATTTGAAAGAAAAAGAAATAGATTTGCACTTTTTATTCTCTTTATTCAGGTACTAAACAAACATTCCCACTGAGAATCTTTATCAAAGCAAACGTGTTTCCCAACACCAAAGTTCATCAAGATTGACAGAGGGAAACGAGGTTATCGAGTTTGGAGATAGATAAACTACACGAGTGACAGCCACCCATCACAAACGACGCACTCGTGAAGATTATGCAAGTAGCTGTCTGTTTYTGATCTTTTAGCTGGAAGAGTGCCTATCAATAAATAGAACCGATTCAGTTTCGGTAAATCAATACTGCACTTGATTTTCATGTTTGTGTCGTCGAAAGATTTGAGGTCTTTAATGTCAAGGTCCGGACGAACCGCCAGAAATCAGGCCGAGACGCTTACTGTTATCAAATCAAACRATATTTACCGAAAAGATAAGTTTAGACCTTTTTGATTTTCTATGGGGTCTCTATGGCTTTCTTTGACAAGATATCATTACAACGCATGCTCAAGTCCACAGTTTTTGAGGATCAATCAACAAATCCAGCCATTTGACGTCATAGCGGACCTTACGTCATGTCAAACCGTGACCTCTATACTTCATTTAGGACACTTATCTGTCATGCATTTGATGTGTTACACCTAAAATAGGAGCCAGCGATGAGTAGCTGTTAATTCGCCGAATGAATCTGTTGCTACTCATCAAATAGCAGCTCTTTTCAACGTCTCGCTCACGAGTCGGGTCGCTTTTATATCGGGCCGGTTTGGACACCAATTTCTTTTCTGAAAAATGAAAACTTTGCCTCAATTGCAAACTAAAATTGCTTGTAACTGGCATAGAACAGCGTCTTGAGACTGCTTTATGACCTTTTTCTGCATTTTTTTTTCGACCTCATTCAATCATGTGAAACTTTACCAGCAGGTTCAGACGAACTTTTGGTACTAGAAACTAAAAACTTTTACCGGGATTTTAATTTATTTGATATAAATCTGGAATAAAAACAGAGACAATGATTGCTTTTTGACCTTAAATATCGCGTTTCTACGTCGAGACGGTCGTCTTAGCATGAGAGCAACACGTCTTGTTTCGCTGAATGGCTTCAAATAGAGATTTCTTGATAGGTTCACGGCAGGTAAGCATGAGATAAGATTGCTTTTTAAATTGGAAGATTCTTGAACTTTGATATGTAGATAGTGGTTTTAATAAACACGACGCCATCAGAGAAAACTGAGGACATGGGCGGATCCCAGGTAGGGGGTAGGAGGGGTGCGTACTTGGGCACTTTTCAGGTGATGATTGTAAACTTGGAAAAATCTTTGAAACAGCCGCCCGACGGAAAGTCAAGGAAGACTTAAAATTGAATTAGTCATGATATATTTTTCATAATTCAGGGGGTGATATGATCTCACGGTAACTCTAAAAAGAAATCTTCAGTTCAGTTTAAAACGTTTTATTTTCGTCATGAAAATGTACAAGATCAGAGTGAAAAAAGTACAAAATTCTCTCTTTCTAAAATCAAGTTATAAAAAGGCAATATATCTCAAATTTGCGGCTTTGAGTTTTTTTTCGAGAGGTTGCCGATAGCTTTTTCATTATTTATTTATTAGCTGAGGTTTTTTTATTCATGATTTAAATCAATGATTCATACTTTTTGTAGTTTTAACCCTAGCCTTTCCGACTGTTCCCCGATTCCAAATCGAGAGGTCGATGGATACCGATGCCATCATCATCCATCATTGAAACCCCGTCTTCCACTCGCCTCAAAACCTCTGCGTTTTTCCTTTGGTCTTTGTAAAACTGTGAAAAATTTCCGACTATGGTCGGAATAGGGAGGGCGATAAAGATGATCCCGGATGTACAACARACACATCCAATTAATTTACCGAGGGAGGTTGTGGGATACATGTCTCCATATCCAACGGTTGTCATAGTAATAATTGCCCACCAAAAGCCTTCTGGGATAGATGTAAAGTGTGTACTTGAGCTTGTTTCCTCTGCGAAGTAAACAAGCGACGAAAACAATGTCATTCCCATGAGAAGAAGCAGTAGAAGAAGACCAAGTTCTGCTGAGCTGTGTTTGAAAGTGTAGGCAAGCGTCTGGAGACCGATGGAATGACGCGCCATCTTGAAAATCCTTGCAATTCGTAGAATTCTCAGTATCTGGACAAACCTGACAATAAAATAGTTTTTAAGAGAGGCTAGCAAAGAACTTATTTGTGGTTAAACTTTGTATATTCATGGGCTTGTTCGTCACTGTTGGATAATTGCGGAATCAAAGAATGGCTGCCTCGTCATACTAATAACCAGGCTGCTGAATATAACGCATTGCATTGTGGTGTAGATTCGGTAGAAGCATCTTTAAGGTATGTTGTTGTTTGTACTGAAGCTACAAGTAGACACAATGGGCCAGAAAAGGCGGTTTATGCAATATACTTTTAAAACCGCAAAATTATTACAGAAAAGCATTAAAAACATCGTGTGACTTYATTTAGTACACTCTGAATCATTTACCTACGAAAGTCGATAAGTCGATCATCCACTTCATTGTCAAATGCTTCAAATATCAAAGTTATAAAGTATGGTAGAATAGCCAGTAGGTCAATAGTGTTCATCAAGCTCTTTAAGAATGGAATTTTATCCGGACACGACACAAATCTTGTAATGTACTCAAACGTGAACCACGCAATGCATACAGCTTCCACTACGGCTAACGTTGGGTTGTCTGACATCTTACCACTTTCTTTTACGCGTAAAGAAGGGATTGTGTTAAGACAGAGCGCGATTGTAGACAACACAACGAAGAATGTCGACAGAAAAGAAACAACCTGAAAACATAAACGAAAACGAAAACAAGTCAGAATATCACGATATTTTCTTGTGTATCCATGTCAGATTCAATACGAGAAAAACTCTATTTTTGCGCTATCGCTAATCAAAGATCAAAGATATAACAATTCCTTTTCTCGATGATATCGTTGAATGTCCGTCAGTAATACCAAAACTGACGAGATTTCCTGATGGTTTACGACCACATTTTTTGGGGTAATACGGTCTTCAACACTGTGCATCGCAACGATTCAACTTAAACCAATTACAACTTCATTTCCTTGGTTAATTTTCTTTTATTACCGAAAGCAAATTCAACGCTTCCGAGGAAGTCTGCATATTATTCCATCATCTCGAAAAGACATGGGCGTTGCCTCGTAGCACGTACTTCATAGACTAACAGACTTTCCACGCCTATCCGTTTATTAAAGTTTTAAAGCAAAACGAAACCGCGATTCCGGGAGAATCTTATATCAATTTCTCAGAAATATATTGCACGATCTATCTATTCTTTGATCTATCGATTTACGACAAATACCTTGGCAGCCCGCGATGATTTGGGGTTTTCAAAAAGATCCCATAGCCTCGCGCGGACTTTGAACCATCCTCCACTTTGAGGAACCAGCGTCATACGTCTATGATACGATTKCGCTTTGGCGACGTTCTTCTTGAAGACAGTCTTGATTTTCCTCATGTTATCGACCACTTCAGTTTCTTGTTGAAAGTGATGATGGCAGCAGTCATCAATGTCTTTAAGGTGTATTCCCCAGTACTCAATTTCGCTCTGGAAGTGCTCCACACAAACCGACCGTGGAATGTGGATTTTTCCCGTTTGATAGAAATTCAAGACGCTAGTAAAGACCACAGGATCGCGTTGAAAGAAAAATTCATCGCGTTCCTTGTCGTAGCCATCGCACGCATTTTCCCAGCCACTGTGATACGTGTGGTTCTTGTGGAGAGTTTGAAGGCGGGTTAAGCGTTGGGCATMAACTAGACTCCATAATACCTCAAATCTCGACCCACTGATGTTTAGAAGAGCTCTATCGTGACAGGATGATGTACAACTAGTATTTTCATCTTCCGCTTCACGAAGAGTTAAAAAATCGTGTTTTTCACCATCCATTGGCCATTATCTAACGTCCTAAATATAGGCTAGTGCAGCATTATTGTGGAAAATATCGAACAAACTTAAATCTAAAATAAACTTGGAATATAAATACTAATGACTTTTGACTAATTTCTGCATTTATGACGTAATGTGACGTCATAATAAACATATCCACGATAACACAGGGGCCCCAGGACTGATATCATTTGATGGGTTAGAATTCCTTCTTTACTAACGCACATTATTAAATGTTCAACTTTAGTATGACAACGTTTTTATAAGAAGAACAAACCTGAAAGATGAGCGGGCATATCAGAAATTCTTCTATTATGGTGTGAAATTCGAAACCGGTCTTCGCCTTCCGCGCGCACTCAAATCGAGCTGTAGAGCTTGTTGCGAGGAGTTAAATAACCACGAGCTTCTAAGTAAGCTTTACTCTTTTAAGCAGTACTTCATGATTCATTTGGTCTTGCGTTGAGAAGAAAAAATTACGCCAATCATAGTCCATATCGCAACCCGCGGAAARCCTTGTGACGCWGTGCATTTTGGGATTGATAAATGAGTAAACAAGTGAAAAACGATGGCAGTGCTCCAGTGGGAAATATTGATATTGTAGTTAATCTCAGAAGCGAAAAAGCAAACAAATATCAACATGCAAGGAAATACAGCAAGAAAAACCTCCAAGAAATGTACAGTTAATCCAAGAATTTCCATTTACTAGGCAAATCAAGCAAAAAAGAAAGGAAACTAATTAGTGTTTTTACGATTTTAGCGATTTGTTTTGATGAAGAAAGGGAGATATATATCCCATGATACATTGCAAAACGATTCAAAATGACGCGGGCTTGTKATATGGACTCAAAGAGTATTGATATCATACTCGCGTTAGATGTCTTCCCTCTAGATGCACTAAATAATGACTTTAGAAAACAACCCACTTGATAGTATATGATTAAAATCTCTTTAATGCTTCAGGTGCAATCAAATTACCTAATAGAAGTTTAGCACGATGTCTTCATTTGTTACAACTACCAGAATGCTTTGCAAGGAAGAATGAATATGCTCTGAGCAGTAGAAAAACGATGACATCGTGGAAATGGCCTTTGGAAACTTACAGCAATATTACCTGCACAATGTCAAGACAGGGACGCATCCAGGGGGAGGGGTTACATGGTGCCCGTGACCCCCCCTTTCAAAGCCAAAACAGCGTGAAAACCATAGATTTATACGACATTATATTGACGTCAAATGACGTCCGGCACAGTGACAATTTGGTATGTAAGGATCCCCCAATGAAAATCCTGGATACGCCCATGCAAGGACATCAATTTCTACGCTTCGGTTTTGGAAACTACAATACTAAAAACACCCTACAAAATGATGAACTATAATTTCAAAACCGGTAACCAACTTAAATTCTTGTAAGGTAGAAAAATGATTGCCGACAACTATAACACTTGTATTTTAGATATGTATATTCATTAGGCCCTGAGGAAGAGAGCCACGTCAATTGTATTTTAAATCTGCTACTTACTGATTTGATTAGAACAACAAAACACTCGCTATAAACTATCCCTATGAATGCATAAAGTCATCATTCACATCTAGAAGAAATTATAAAAAAGACATTTGTTTTTGGCTTCTAAGTGTGCCATGTATCATTACAATAATGAGTAAATTCTAAAACTTGAGAAAAACGAAAGCTATAATGAAGAATGTATAGTTTCACTAGTAACCTGTTGCCTTTTCCTACTACTCTAAGCTAAAACTGTTGTTGATCTTAATAAAAATATTATATGAATCAGTACTTAATAAAGGTAAAACAATTCGAAACGAATTAGCAAAAAAAAAGCTTGTTAAGAAAACCCGCCAGATTTCATTACTCTCTTTTTGCCTGGTCTGCGGGATGTCCTTGGTGCTCTTGTAGCTGTAGCTAATGTGGTGGGTCTTGGATGAGCCAACTTTGCGTTGAGCTATAAATTGATATGAAGGCACAGTGATTTAGTGTTATTTCATTGTACTCATGCATAAAGCCTTTTAAACATAGCCTAGTTTATACGGTGTACGTAACTATTTCACTTGTTCACCACCAATTAAGATGACCGTTTAATAGATTCGAATGTAATCCTTTAAATAAACATTAGATAAATACCTTTTTCAGTAAGTTCTCGTAGAATGCGTGAATCTCGTAAATCTCACCAATTTTTAATTCTTTGGGGAAGAACTTCAGAGCCTCTTTTGGCACTTCAAAAGTGCTGTCATCGGATCGAGCTCTTAAAGCCATCGGCCAAAGAGAAGGATCTCTCATCGACTCCACAAGACTTTCGTCGGGGTGTGGTTTCATGTGAAGATACCTGAAAACAAACCTTTTAATTGCGGTTATGGCTGCTTCCAGTTTGACTTTCTCAAAGGTAGCACTGTTCTCTTCTAGCTTCTTTTTCGTCCCATCGGGCATCTTTTGGAGATACCTTTCTTCAACACATTCCACTGAAGGAGCTGCTAATTGGTCCTCCACGAACTCATATAAGGCGCAGACATGTCTAATTTGAATCGTGTTCAAAGTAGTCGGTAGGAGATCTTTTGGAAATACTCTTGAGGGAGGAATGCAAGTGTCAGAGAACTCTACAAGGCTTCTGTCTGGCTTCACTTCCATCCTTTTCAGATACCACAGCACCAATTCCATGTGCCCCAGGAGAGTTTGAATTCGGTCCATGCTTTTCCTTGCTGAACTGTTAAGTTCTGCCTCCACGCTGCTTGGRAGTTTATCTTGTGGGATGGACTCACACAACTCATTGAGTATGTTTGCACAGTCATGGAAGAGCTGCTTGGAGAACACAAATTCGCGWATACCACTCGCCGTATCCAGATAAGYTTTKCCCAGAAGAAAGCAGCCAGCCAACTCCTTCTCCATTTTTGTCATGTCGTAAGTTATGCTCTTTCCCTGGCCATACTCTGTTGAACAGTGCGAGTGTGCAAGGAAGTTATCCGTCCATTCATAATTGATRATCTCTTTCTCCTTTGCATCTTGGACGTGAATTATTGGTAAGTGATAGGGAGACCCTTCCTTGGATAAGAAATGAAGAGCCGGACACTTTCCAGTTGATGCAATGGCTAGGCAGCTATCCAGAAACGTATTCTGCATCTTKGCAAGGATGTAAAAACTTTTACACAAGTACCGSCCCAGGTCATTTTTTTCAGCTAAACAGTAYCCAACAGGATTGATTTCACTGATGTAAGGCATCTCGTCGCCATCTTGAATACTTTCATTTACCAGCGGAACAACCTTTCTCCATGCCTTTTTGAATTCTTCAAATGCTTTACTCAATTTAGTTTCATTTGGTGTCTGTGATTCCTTGCTGAGTACAACATCATAGATTTTCTTTTCTTTGGCGTCTTTTCTTGTGATGGCCCGGCTAAGCAAGCTTCCTACACGGCGGCTCCACGAAAGTAGAGAGACAAGATTTCCAATTAGGTGAAGGGTGTCATGGTGGTCCAAAAACAGTCCAAGAAGCTGGTGCTTTTCTTTTAATTCTGTAGGACTGTTAAAATACACTTCGCGTAATTTGTTAAACGTGTTTGGCTGTGTCACACGAAATAATCGAGGGATRGACGCATTTCTTGAAGTGATATCGGCAAACTGAGGCAACTGACGCTCTTCAATGACCGCTGTGTAAGACTGTTGGTTGTCTTTTTCAACAAAGCCACCACAATGAAACTTCTCGAGCACTGGTTTCACTTTCTTTGAAAAGTAGCCCTCCCAAGAGGACCTTCCTTTTTCATCGAGAGGAATGGGCAAGCCAGAATTGTCGGTTAAAATCTGGGACACCGACTCGATGACATGATGTAAAAGGGTCACAATCTTTTCCTTTTTACAGCAAAACAAGCTGCTGAGGGCCTCTAGGTCAATCTGTACGATTTTGTAGCAGGTGTCTGATGGGTTTTCATCTCCCATCACATCGCTCARTACAMCGGTTGACAAGTCCAAGGAGTAGCCACCAAGCAGAGCAGCATGGACGATCAAATGTAAAATTCGGAACTCCACAGGATCAAGATTTCGGACGTGGAGCAAGTCACATTTCAAATCCTCTGGACTTATGTAGACATATCCTTTGGTTGCAGGGATCTTCTGCCCTGTACATTTCACGACTTCCTTTTTATTATGAGAATCACAAAAAGGACAATTTGCACCTGCTGATTCCCGAGAAACATAACGAATGCCACATTTGCAAGAAAATAAATGGATCTCACAGGCTGTGTTGCTCTTGAAGTGTTTGTACGGTGGGTATCCTGAGTTATCGTCAGGTAAGGCAACCATACATGACGTTTTGAGTGCTTTGGGATCGACYAGACAGCACATGATTGGATTTGTACTTTTTCCGACAAAACGCGAGGTCAAGATGGCGCACAAATGCTGGACGAGACATGCCACTTGAAAATCAATCGTTGTGGTCTCCGATGAGATTTCCAATTCCTTGCACTGAAAACTTTGTCGACTGGAAATGCGTGAAATGAAATTCTTGTATGGGAGAGTACACTTGGTCAAACTTTTYGTTACAAACTCTGCTACACTGTCCTCTGTGTCTTTCAGCTTTCGAAAGGAACGCACAATGTAGAACATTTCAATGGCGATGGCGGCAAGTTCTTGCCTTTTCTCGCATGATGTCATGATAGAATCAAGAGCATCTGTAAATGGCTTTGAATCTTTGCTTTCCACGTAGATGCCCAGTGCGGTTGCTATCTTGGACTTTGCTGTTTGCAACTTGAAAGGGTTGTACTCTAATTTACATGTATCCTCTTCTTTCCATTCGAGAGACATCAAGGGATGKGTTTTCTCATTGCTCTGGATTAATTTCTTAACATCATACAGGCACATCACTTGACACAGTTCTTTTATAAGAAAAGTCCAAACGACTRACTTCCTCTKCTGMAGCTCTTCAYCATCTTGCAAATGTACGCAGATATCACTTAAGAYAAGMTCTAAAGTTTTCGTCTCGCCACTCRGCAATCTGGCCAACTCCGACAYATATGCTCTCAGATAGGCAACAGCACAAATAAATCGAAACATAGTTGTCTTGAGATTTTCATCGGTTTCTGACAAAATAGAAACAGCTTGATGAAAGTGTAGCACAAGTGCATCTTTTGAGCTGGTCACGTCTTGGAAATTGAGGTCTTTGAAGTATAGTTTGTTGATCAAATCACAACAAATCACGTTGACGTGACAGTCAAGTTCTTTTTCATTTTCTTGAAGAGAAAGCGCGAAATTAATTTCGCTTAAATTGGGAAACTCGTCAAGTTCTGYTGAAGTTATCAATTTCTCTAGGTGCTCGGGTGCAAACGCGTCATTCTCAGAAAGGAGTATCTGGTGTAAAATGGAACTTGCMAGGTGGAGCATATTTGCGTCTTCAGATAAGGATACTCTTGACAATATTTCTCCCATCATTGGTGAGTCTGGATTGGATTCTATACACCTCTCATAAAATTGGAAGAGAAATTCATTSAGCTTCGTCTCATCGTGTCCTTTGTCTCGAAGAACTTGGACAGAGTCACACACCGATTGAAAAATCTCTYCCGAATCAAGATAGTTTTGATTGTCCACTTGTTCCCCGCGCTCTCCAATCTCAAAGAGCGAATAGGGCTCTGTCTCAAGAGGAATCARGTTTGCAAAATCATTGCAAACTTTCAAGAAATACGATACTTCAATTGGGATACGATATTTCGATACCGAGGACAGTACAAGGCTCACTGCACTCTTCCACTTTGAGATTCCTCCAAATAACTGAAYAACATTGTCGGTTGGAATAAGTGACAAACACACKTYTTYCACAACAAAATATTCAAACACAGACTCGGGAWWGAAGKTGCTYTCTGCGTCACCTGCATTGTCCACTGTMGATTGCTCACTGTTCGTATTAGCTGYATCATCGACGTTTTCGTGGCTATGGGTTTGCTGCAATGTCTCGTCCTCGAGATTTTGAGCACTTATTTCTTCGTTTTTCTCTTCAGACGTCTCTTGTGAAACACCGCTTGACTCAATTTCAAAGCTGTTTTTGTTGTGGAGTTGCTGTAACGCTTCGTCTTCGCGATCTTCAACAAGCATTTCCTTGCCTTCATCTTTAGACTGCTCTTGTGGAAAACCGCTAGACTCGATATCAGAGCTGTTTTTGTTTTGGGGTTGTTGCAACGCCCCGACCTCGAGATCTTCAAGAAGCATTTCTTTGCCTTTCTCTNACAGGACCTGTTAAAATATCTTCATTCTCACTATGTTCTTCAGGAAGYTTACACAGATCTTTCCCTTCAGCTGGCTCCATATCTGTTTGGCTTAATCCATTATCTTCGAGATTTTCATCATTCCTTTCTGAAACTTCTCCATCGTCTGTCATCGTATTTCTTTTCTTTTGACCATGATATCGTGATACAAGATCTTCGACATTAAAACCAGGAATATTAATGTCTATGCAKTCTCTAATAAAGTACAATACGTTCGGAACGGCATTGTCTTCAATCCAAAAATTACAGTGAAGCTGGGCTACAACAGAAGAAACATCAGCCGGATTTGCCCCTGTAAAATCTGGCATCTT